CCCACCAAAAACCTTGGAGAGTGTCAATGGTTTGATGTGTGTGCCATCGAGAGAAATGTATGCTGGGACTCTTAGAATCTCCCAAACCGCGTAGACTATATCGACAGCATGGTTGAACGCTTCGATGTGCAATCAACTTCCCGCATCCCCGCTACCCCTGGTGCCGATCTAGGGCCGAAGCGAGAGGATGAGGAGGGAGGGGAGTGGCCGGTGAGNCACGCCCACGCCCCGGCGAAGCGGCACTGGGATGCCATACAGAAGATCCTCGGCTACCTGAAAGGGACGAGGGACCTCGGCATCACCTACCAACGGGAATCGGGGTTAGGGCTTGCCGTGTACGTAGACGCTAGGTACGCCGACACGGAGGATAGGCGTTCGGTGTCAGGGTTGACGACGACGGTCGGAGGCGCCGTAGTCAGCCATGGTAGCAAGACGCAGAGTATCGTGTCTTTGTCTTCGACGGAGGCCGAGTACATTGCTGCCGGGGAGGGCGTCAACGAGGCGTTGTTTGTGCGTGCTGTGCTTTCGAATGCAGTAAGGGCAGTAGCTAGGTATTGCGCATCTTCGAAGCTGGTACACTGGAATGCAGCGATGGATGTTTTTTTGGGTATGCGAGGAGGACGAGTCACTTCGGTATTTCGTTTCAGAGAGGTACAGTAGAGGGTTTCAGTTTGCAGGGGTAAGATGATGGGGACTTTGCAAGCAAGGCAGCAGACCGTAGGTCGGTATCAGGGGGGATCGTCACGTGTGGAGGAGGCGCTGTGTCTTGGTTTTATAGAACGCAGAAGTGTGTTACGCTTTCGACGACAGAAGCAGAGTACGTCGCGCTTGGTGACGTAGTGACGGAGATCTTGTTTTTGAGGAAAATTTGGCGTTTCATGTTGCCGCCGGTCGGCATGCCGTGCATCCCAGTGTTCGAGGACAACCAGGGCGCGATTCATCTAGCGCAGAACCCCATCTCAAACTCGAACTCGAAGCACATAGGTGTAAGGCACCATTTTCTCAGGGAACTGGTAGAGAGCAATGAAATTCGGTGATCCACGTGCCGTCGCTATAGTCTACCAGCGTGCAGATTTTCTTACGAAGAGCTTGCCGAAGGACACTTTCGAGTCTCACCGTGGTTTTGTGATGAGTTTGGCATGAATATTTATTGTTTTTCTGATGGGTTGTGTGTTGATTTTGCTTTCATTTTCCGCGCCAAGTATTCACTACGCGCGATGCAGCATTCATGCATGTTTCTTTGAACGAATTTTCTTTCTTATATTTTGGTATAGTAGTCTTGATGGCATAGACNACAGAAGCAGAGTACGTCGCGCTTGGTGACGTAGTGACGGAGATCTTGTTTTTGAGGAAAATTTGGCGTTTCATGTTGCCGCCGGTCGGCATGCCGTGCATCCCAGTGTTCGAGGACAACCAGGGCGCGATTCATCTAGCGCAGAACCCCATCTCAAACTCGAACTCGAAGCACATAGGTGTAAGGCACCATTTTCTCAGGGAACTGGTAGAGAGCAATGAAATTCGGTGATCCACGTGCCGTCGCTATAGTCTACCAGCGTGCAGATTTTCTTACGAAGAGCTTGCCGAAGGACACTTTCGAGTCTCACCGTGGTTTTGTGATGAGTTTGGCATGAATATTTGTTGTTTTTCTGATGGGTTGTGTGTTGATTTTGCTTTCATTTTCCGCGCCAAGTATTCACTACGCGCGATGCAGCATTCATGCATGTTTCTTTGAACGAATTTTCTTTCTTATATTTTGGTATAGTAGTCTTGATGGCATATATTCTTGAATGGACGTCTTTTGGTTGAGATATCGGATGTTCGCAAAGTTTGCAGTGAGAAACTGTTGCGAGCAGGGGGGATGTTAGATATACTCGCAGCAGGATCTGGTCGTGAGGATTCCAAGGGGATACGTTTTGGGAATCTCGTGTTTAGTAGGGTACCACCGGTGCAGTCACGGGACCCTTTTGGCGCGGTTGGAACGATGAGACTTGCGTGCGGGTTGCGGCACACTCACTCTTTCTTCCTTCTCCCCTTCCACCGCTACCGCCGTCTCTCTCCAATCAAGTTTCCTTCTCCCACTCTCTCTCCACCTCTCTCTCCATCTCTCACTCTCGGCCTAACACGGCCGACTACCCAGTGCCCCAAGTAACGCCCAGGACGGGCTTGCTGCACCCCGGGTAGTTTGCCCTTTATTAAAGGGACTAGTCTACATACAGCAGCAGCCATCGTATAGCAGTATACTGCTGCTGGTGCTGCTGCTGGTGCTGCTGCTGTGCTGCTGCTGGATGATTGTGTTCTGCTTAGAGGTAGCAACCACTACAGCACAGCAATAATAGCTAGCAGCGTGAACTAAACCTAGAGAGTTTTTACATGTACAGGGCACAGCACAGTTCGACCGGTCGCCCCGGTGGTCGATT